TATATATATACATATATATATGCATAACTATATTAATGTTATACAACTGTTTCTGTCTATCTTATTAAAACAAAAAACAACCATATATCGATCTGACGCGATTCACCCACTTTAAATGACATGATCCAATAAAGTTTACCACAGGTTCGTGTGTTGATCATTACCAACTTGTTTGCAACCATTTTAGCACCGCCCCGTACGTAGACACGTGGAACGGTTACACTTCCGCGGTCAGATTTTCTCTTATTCGCATAAAAAAAAACCTGTGGGCTGAACATGCGAGGGGGTAGAGGCGCTACACGTAAATGTCAGTGTTCTATAGAGGAGAAATTAAAGCAGCTGAGCGGAGGATTCGCCGGCAACAGTGAGATTGCAATGACCGACGACTGTTGTCTGTCTGTCGGTTAGTGTTGCTGCTGCTGAAGAAGCTAACGCGAGAAAAACGGACACGCGTGCACGCTAGTGCGCGCGGCCCCCGTACACAAGCGAGGGCATGCGAGAGACGCAAAGGGGGATGGGGCTGGTCACAGCCGCGTTTCTGTTAACTTCCCTTCGTGACAAATACAGTACTCAAGTAGACAAAATGAACGACACAGCCAGTAAGAAGCCCGATGAGTGTATGTAGGTGGAAATAGAAAAACAGTCTCACCTGCACTTGGCTGAAACCAGTGTCGTGTCGCCGTTGTTTGTTCGTTACCGGGGACTTGCTCCGTCCGTACGTCCGTCCTCTGTGCGCTCGCAGCAGCTTCTACTGTTCCTCGCAAACGCAGCATTCGTTGGCGGCGGAGAGGGGCGACTGTCGGTGTTTTCCGGTTAGGGGTTTTACGTTACAATCACATGACTGGCTGTGGGTCAGATCAGCCCAAAAAGCAGCCGTTGTAAAGGGGGGAGAAGAGGGTTAAAAAAAAAATCCGTTGAGCAAAGGGCGGTTGTGTCAACGTCAGTTTCCCGCACTGAGTAACCGCCGTACAAGCATTTATGACAGCCGGTGAACATAGACACGACCAGCAGCCCTTCACACTTACCATTGTTGTTGTTTGGCTGACAGTGTCCTAATGAAGGTTGGCTTACATTTTCTAGAACTTAGCTAGAACTACTTTAAATGTAAGATTAAAAATTTGAAATTAAACCATTAAATGTCACCATTATTTTTAGACACACATTCACTATACACTTTAAATGTAATACAACAAACGTTATATTAGTATATTGTTATTTAAATAATTACACAGCACTGTATTTGTTTTTATTTGCGTTCACTGTGTGTTTGTTTTTTGATGTGTTGAATAGTTTTGCTGATGTTTTATGGGTGTAGGGTATTAATTGTTTTATTTAGAGAAAACAAAAAGGGATATTAAATCCAGCAGACTTTAGGTCATTGAGACTTTAAATAAAGTGCAGACCCAAAGCAATGACCATCAATGTCAAAACATGTTAGTATGATTTGCAAAAATTATATTTTTCATTACTGTATACACTTTAAAAGTTGGCTCACAATACGTTTCCCATCTAAAAGACAGTAACTACACCAATCCAAACCAGACTCTAATTGTACTCACACAGTGTAATCTGCAGTTGTTAACAACACCATGACCCTCCCGTAGATTGTCTGACCTCACAACAAGTCAACCAGCAGCAAACACTGTTTTGTTTGGCCCATCCTATGTGAAGTCCTATGTAATGAGCCAGGTTACAGCTGTTATTAGCTGTAATTTTTGCTGAAAGTTGGAAAGTTTAGTTGGTGAAAAATCTTCATAGATAAACAAAGGAAGGTACATGTGCTTTGGAGACAAACATCAGAAATACATTTCACCTTGGAGGGATTGTCAGAAGCACAGTTGAGTGTTTCTCGTCATCAAGAGCAAACATCTGAAATGGTATAATTTTGCTTTGACCTTAGGGACTAAACAAAACTTTATTTTTTGTGTGCCCGTATCTTCCCATTGAAGGGCTTATCTCCAGGACTCTCACATGACTGCACTACAATAAATAGCCGTTTAATTGATTTTCTTCTGCAACAACGTATATTTAATACCAACCGAAAAGTTGCGCATGAAATCGGATCGATTTGCGTCAGATTCGGTGTGTGACGTCATGGCACATTTTCATGCGCCTTTACGCACGGAAAAAAAAGTAATTGTCGGGGGGGGGGGATGAAAACCTGGTGTGTTTTGAGCACAAACACCTGATTAAACAGGCTATTTTAATGGGTAACCGCTGCACAGTTCATCGCCTTTTTTTGAAACCGGAGTGGTGAGTCACTACCCGCTCGGTTTTAACTGAAAAACAAATCCAGACAGGCTGGGGCCCCGGGCGGGGGGGATGGGAGGCCGGCGGCGGTGGATGAGCACCGGAGGTGGACGCAGCTGGACTCCCGCTCCCAAGGACCCCCACATCCTGACAAAAGCCATGTTCCCATAGTGACCGCGGTGGATCTGAGGAAGGGAAAAACAACACCGCCACCATCAACTGATATGCAGATCTGTCCCAGCCGATTTTCTGGCTCATACCGCGGCGTGGAACCAATCAATTGGTCACATGAGCGGAGTTTGCCCCGGTTCTCTTACCCGGGATAGCACTATATACTTTGCCTTTTTGTGCTCTCCGTGAGCCGACGAGGTTTATCACAACAACAATATACAGCGGTAACCCGATTAGAGCATGAGTGTGAATGAGAACTTACATTAACACAAGTTGTGTTTCCCAACACGGGTCAGTATTTTAAAGAGATTTTAGACGCAGAATGGACATTGTTTACTTAAAGGGTCACTGTGTAATATTAAAACATTTTAAGATAAAGAATTCAATCTATTTGTATTTATATTACTTGTGTGTGTAAAGTGACTTGAAAGTGTAAGTGAAATTATTGTTTTCGTTACGCCAATGTACTACTGTACTTGCATTATGTTGCATAAATGCAAAATAAACAAAAATAAAATGAATGCCTTTTTTGTTTTGTTTATAACCAAAGGCTGTTTATATGAAGACCCCTGACAGATTTTAGTTGTTAATGGATTTTATGGATATTTTTATGTTTAGTTTGTAATCTTAGATACACAATAAAAAGAATTGCTTCCATTAATAAAAGTATCAGTAATTCGTATAACATTTATTTTTGTCATTTAATGTCTAATATAAAGTTGCCTGACTCTAATAAATAAATAATGTTAACAGCAAGATCTGACTGTAACTGAAAAACTGTGCCCTTATTGTAATACAAAACCTGAGAGAGGCAACGTAATAAAAAGAAGCAACAATAAAATACACATCCCTGTGATGTCCAACACATGAGCAACCCATAAATCATTACTATGATAAATAAGTTCAACATATGTTATGCATATATTCACTATTCTAATAACATTTTTGCAGTAGGGACTCAAGAGAGATGCACCACTTATACAAACCCACTATATCCCACCCCCCTTTTCACTTTCCCGCCAAAAGGCATTGTGGGGGTTGAAGGGGCAGATCAATGTCTCCATGGCAACCCTTGCCCCAGACAATTAGAGATGCTTTTGGAGTCACGTCAAAAAGGGACAAGGCAACAAGACCGTGCTAGACAGTCTAATCTAATCTAAGGCATGGTGGTGGCAGAGGTGAGGAGGACCAAGCTGCAACACCTTAACATCAAAGTGGTGTCTCAAAGCTGGCAGGGAGGCTGGATGTCATGCCATGGTCTGATCTGTGGAAGATCCCCCAGGCCAGGCTCAGCTTCCTGGTCAGATCTACCAACAACACCCGGCCTTGTCCCAGAAATCTGCACCAGTGGTTTGGTGCTGAAGAGTCCTGTCCCCTGTGCAGTACCAGCAATGCAACCCTCCAGTATATACTGTTGGGCTGCAAGAGCGCATTGTCCCAAGGCCGCTGCAGGTGTTGTGACCTGGCCATGTACAACAACTTCCTGTTTAACGCCGAGTTACTAGCAGGTTAATAAAACTAACTGTAATTAATTAGGAAGACAGACCCGCAACAGCGATTTGTTTAAATTATTTATAAATTGCATTTTGTTAGGGCTTTTAGAACGTATATTGAGCAGCGCTGCATTTTAAACTTTGTCCGCTAGATGGTGGTATTGTTCCCTTATTTGAAGAAGAAGAAGAACCCAATCTGCAAGGAAGTAAAAGAGAACCACAACTAAGATTAGAGCAGTCGACAATAATACAAATTTCTTTGTGGCGACACTAGAAGTGACAAGTATGTAATTTAATTTTCCGAAATTTAATAATACAGGCAGTCTGTCAGCGTCAAGGCATTTGTTATCAATAAAGTCACTGTTTTGAACGCGTTCCACTGCTGAAATGATGGCGGCTGATTATACTGTTCACGGAGTTCCTTCTCTATCTGCTAAAGTGGTGGGGTAGGTTGACAACTCAAGTAATGTGTATAGATGCACATTAATGTATGTGTTTTTATATTCTGTGGCTTTAAAATCGTTACATTATACGTTGTAACTATCATTTGTAAAGCATACTGAAGCAGACGTAGCATTAGCTTCTACTGTAGCTAACAGTAGAATCTATTCCATAGATAGATTATTGAAAAATTACTACGTTTGCTAACTGGCTAGTTTACTTAAAAATTACTACGTTTGCTAACTGGCTAATTTACTTTATTGTATTTATTATTTTACTTTTATTTTTAGTTTATATACCTGCTGCGCAGAGAAGTGTTTGTATGACAGTAATGTCTGTGTAATGTCTGTGTAATGTCTCTGCAGGTCGTTTGCTTATCTTACAATCAAAGACAGGTTGCCCACCATCCTGACCAAAGTAATCGATACAATACATCGCAACAAAAACAAGTTTTTCGAAGAATATGGAGAGGTATTTATCGACGTTGAACTATTCAAATTATAGTAGTTGCATATATTTATTTGCATGAGTCAAATAAAGATTTACGGTAAATATACAGGGGCTATCAGTAGCTCTCAGTGATTCACTAAAACGCGGAAAGTGCTCTGCAGGTTTCAAAAGTTTTATTTGCAGTTTAATGTATGTCAATGTCATAAAGTAATTAGTGATTAAGACAACAGTGTTATTGCCATAATCAATAGTTTCCGGTATTTTCCTGTTGAACATGAAATTTGTTTTGTAAATAATTGTGATTTATATATTAAATACATAGACCAAAATTGTAGGAAATTAAACGAGTTATTAACAGACATATCTATCAATCTATTTCAACCAAAGCGTGCAGTAGTCAATACTCTATACAGTTTATACACGCAGCCAATAACAAAAACACTTGATATTAGTTTCCTTTGTGTTTCCTTTCCTATCTTTGCACAGAAAGGGATCGAGGCAGAGAAACAAGCCATATCTCTATTGTCTAAACTGAGGAATGAGCTGCAAACTGATAAGCCAATACTAGCACTGACAGATGGCAGGGAAGACGCAGAGTCCTGGAACCAGTACCTGCAGAGACACCAAGGACTACACGGACCGGATGAGGAATCCGTCAGCTGGTTCAAATCTCCATGGCTTTATGTGGAGTGTTACATGTACCGTAGGATACAGGAGGCCATTTGGCTTAAGTAAGTGCTTTTTTTATCTTAATGGGAGCTACTTCTGCCCACCAATAAAATTGCCACCTTTAATTATAATTAAAAAATATTCTTCTTACTCCTTACTCTTATTTTTGACCACAAGTTAAATGTTGCAGGAAATGTTTTTTTTACAGACATTTACTGATTATAATTATTATTTAATTGTTTTGCTATGCAGACGCTTGAATTAAGACAGTTTGATGTTTAGATAAGGTTATAAAAAACAGCTTTGGATGTAATTCTCATAATAATAATCAAGATTATTTATTTATTCAACAGAATAATAAAACGGGTAACTGTTCCGCACTAATCTTGCTGCTGTATCAGTATGACAGAAACAGAGTTGCCAATATTAGGAAAATTAAATTGTCAATTTGCCAATGCGCTAACATCAGTGTCCATAGTTTCACCTCCGCTAATGTTTTTGTGGCTGCTTGTATTGCAGTCCTCCCATCAATGATTTCGATGTCTTCAATGAAGGAAAGACTAAGAGCTATTTTGAGTCACAGAGGGCAATTATGGCCCTGTGTACACACCTGGAGGGAGTCAACAAGAGCATGAAAGAGCTGTCTGACAGTGAGCTGCAGGACAATTTCAACAAACTGCTTCTGGTCAGTAAGACACCATTTGTTTTTTTGGTGATAGCAAAACACATACATTTGAGTTTACTAAAAAACAACAAAATAAGAAAAAAAGGTCCTGTTTTTTGGGTGGGCGTGCAACTGTTACTAAAGTGACTTAACAGCTAGCTTGGGCATTGGATAATAGGTCTGAGTAATAATGCTGATCATTTTAAACAAATACTATGATTGTGACGTTAGTGAACTACATGGCATTGAGTCAATACGTTAGTGAACTACATGGCATTGAGTCAGCTTTGAGTTTTTCAATAAAAAAAAGAAAGTGATAATACATCGAAGACCCGCAGTATGTTTTTCATAACAAATATGTTAGGTCCTCTATGTGTGTCCTGTACGTTATGTTAAAGTCAAGTCTGATTACCTCAGTCCCTGCCAGATGGTGAGGAATAGAATTCATTAATTCACCAATGGTATCGGCTCAATATCAGCTAATGTGCAACACCTATGTATCGGTACTGGAACTGAACAAGTTGGATCAATGCATCTCTGTATTTCAATCAATATAAAATTATATTTCCATGCTCAATATTTAAACCCTCTAGGTTTCACTCTGGGGCAACAAGTGTGATCTTTCCATCTCTGCTGGCCAAGAGAACTCACAGAAGGCCAGTCCATTAGAGTCACTCGACAGCCTCCAACCCTTCATCTTGGTTGATGACTCCAAGTCCGTGTGGTTGACTCTTTCTGCTCAGAGGCCAGCACAGTCTGGCAAAGAACCAGCAGCAAGAGTAGACATTGTTCTTGACAACGCTGGCTTCGAGTTAGTTACAGACCTGGCCCTAGCAGACTTCCTGGTCTCTTCCGGTCAAGCTCAGGAGATCCATTTTCACGGCAAATCCATCCCATGGTTTGTGTCCGATGTGACGGCCCAAGATTTCCATTGGACCATGAAGCAGACAGCGGCAGCCAATCACAGGTGGATGTCCAAAGTTGGTTTCCAGTGGATGACCTACATGAAGAAGGGTGTGTGGTCTTATCACGATCATCCTTTCTGGACACAACCCCACGAGTTCTGTGACATGGCAGCTGAGGCTCCTGACTTGTACCCGACGCTGCAGAAGGCAGACCTGGTGCTGTTCAAAGGTGATCTGAACTACAGGAAGCTGGTGGGAGACAGGGACTGGGACTTCACTGCAGGCTTTCATACAGCACTGAGAGGTTTTGGGCCCGCACCACTCTGTAGCCTTAGGACTCTGAAGGCCAACGTTCAGGTTGGTCTGCAGATTGGCCAAGGGGAAAAGCTCACCTCACAAGAGCCAGACTGGATGACCAGTGGGAAGTACGCTGTCATCCAGTTCGACAGCCCAAAATCAGAACAATAGCAAGGAGTACATGGTTTACTTCACGGGAGAAGTACACTAAGCCATGAGAATGCAAAATCATGCAAATCGCTATTCTTTCTTTAACTTAAGTTCAAAGTTATTTTCACTATATGATTTCTGCTTTTTAATGGTCACTGTTGCAAGATAATGAATGAGAAAGATAAATAATAATTAATTTTGGGTTTATGTTTAATCAGTTTAACTACTTTCACTATGGCTATGAACAGCATACATGTTTGTCTGCTTTACAGAGCTAATAGCATGAAAACTGGTGTACTGTTTTGGGGCTCTGATTTTGTTTACAAAAAAGGTGAAGCAGACCTTTGTCTCCATGGACGAGTGTATTTCTCTGGGCACTTTATCATCCAGCTTAAATCTCTGTGCTCAATTTTGGTATTTCATAGATTCTCTTAAAAAAAGGGATTGTATTCAGTGTCGCTGCTAAGAGGAATCAAATGACTTTGTCTCTTGAGTTGGATTCAATAAAGAAAATCGATGGCTGGTCATCTTTTCCCCCTGTCATTTGTACAAGTATGAGGTCTGGAAAATATGACTGGAATTATTTATATTACAGTTTTAAAAAATAACCAAAGTTGTCTAAACTATCTACTGTCTAAATAGGTCAACAGTGTCAGCTGGAGGAAGGAGGAAGACAGGAGCAGGACTTTGCTGTAAGATTTGTTCTGTCATGAAACAAGCAGTTTAGTAAAACACCCAACGACCCTGTTTAGCCAGCTATGTAAACTTTATGAAGATAACAACAACTCTAGGTTCCAGTCGTTGTAGATTCCAAAGACAAAACAACTTTGTTCTGATGCTATCTTGTTAGAAACATCTTCAGCTGTCTAAATTATGCTATGGTTTCAGTTCTTTTTTTTTTCTTCTGTTCTTTGATACAATTGGATTTTCATTTCCTTTCTGGGGAAATGCTAAGGAAATATAAAAATCATCATTAGGCACCACTTGTTTTCCACTTGACCTGACACGTCCTGAAAATTGGGCTGTTTACTGAGGTAAGATGTGAGGCAGAGAGGGAAAAGAAGCCTCTGTGCCAAAAGTAGAGTTTTTATCACTGGGAGGAGGGGTTATTCTCTTTGCATATTTATTTTATACACTACGTTTTAATCAGAATGTTCCTTCTACCTTGGCATTTATATCCTCTTATTTGTTTTCTCTGCTGTGTGTTGAGTGAATGAATATTTTAATTTACATTTAATTATTTTTAGTCTGCATGATGATCATTTTTCTTTTGTCTCGATGCCTTGTCCCACAGCAGCAAGGACCTGATGGAGCTCTGAAAATGAACAATCTGTGAACATAAGTCATCTATCGGAGTGAAGGTTTGACCTGGTAATGATTAATCAGTTCATATTTTATATATTTCTTTTTCTTTCTTTTTCTTATGACGATAAAATTAAATATAAAGTTATAATTAGGCTCCGGCAAAGTCTAATAAATGAAAATGTCCCCTTCATCATCGATTCATTGTGTAATTTTTGGCAGACAGAATGACATTTGACCTTTGGTGTTGTTTGCTGTGTTATGGTGACCTGAGACTTAAACACACACCATAGTTATCGATCTGGCAGCATCGTTAATTTGTTTATCCCCCTTTTTTTCTTTCACCCTTTTCACTGTTGCCATTGTGTTCAATCAGCGTGGTTAGATTTCTAGGAGTCAGTGATGACACGGGAGAACAGAGGGAGGGGGAGAGGAGGTGGAGGAGGAAAAGAGAGGAAGCAAACAGTACCCGTTCTCCACACTAGACGTGAGGAGGATTCACATGTGAGAGGTGAGTTTGTTCTAATGCTTGTACGTTTTCTTTCTTTTTTTTTAACTCGCTTGTTCGAATGTTTCTCATTTACACCATGATTTAATTTGCGTCTTGGTCTCAGGTGTATTGGAGAAACTGTCTACAAATAGATCATACGTCATGCTGTTAGTGTGCAGACTATCAATTAAATGAGGAATACATATGCAGAGAGACACGAGCTGCAGTGAGGTTAGTGGTTTAATTTAATGTGAACTGCAACCTGGTAAATATATGGAAGGTGGACGTGACGCAGGGAGAAAGTTTTTGTTGTTTACTGTAAGTCAGAGATGGTATTTATTTTGTATGGGAGATAGCATTTCTATTTGTTTTTACGTTATTTCCTTCTTTCCTCACCTTTTTATTAAACATAAGTAAAGAAAAGAAACGATGGGAAAAAGAGTTTGGGAAATGTCTTTTTTTTATATTCTTTCAGTGTAAGGGAAGAAAGGGAAGGGCTCTGGGAGAAAAGTGGTCTCTACAAGTTCCCTGGCTTTATGGAAAAATAAAAAGACAGAGAGAGAGGGAGGGTAGCTCACATCTCCACTCCCCCTCCCAGCAAATGGGAGAGCAAGTCTAAATCATGTTGCTTATCAGTCCTGTTGTGCTGTGATGTTGCTCAGGCACAGCCCAGCACACAACAGACAGCCTTCTGGACCAGTACTCACAACCAGCACCAGTGCAGCCTTCTCAGAGCTGGAGGCTCTCACCCCGCCACGTCTCTCAGCTCCACTGCGTGCCTCCTTTACTGCCATGTACCCTGAGGAGAGCCGGGGGTCTGGAGGGGTCGCCACTGTGGACTTTTTGGAAGGGACATACGACTACGCTGCCCCCACCCCTGCTCAGACTCCTCTCTACAACCACTCCAGCCCTGGCTTCTTCTCTGCTCCTCTGGACGATGGCACTCATCAGTCCCTGGGCAGTGGGTCCACCAGTCCTCATGTGTACGTGCCTTCCAGCCCACGTGTCAGCCCCTTCATGCACCCGCCGAGCCACCACTATCTGGAAGCCACTTCAACTCCGATGTACAGGTGAGACAACACAGTTTTTATTGGTCACAACATGCAACATGACTACTGTGTATTAAGGTTCCAATTAATCTTATTAATATCTTAATAAATATTATAAAGTAATGAATACAATCTTGAGCTGTTTCACCTCTGCTGTTTTGTTTGTACAGTAGTGTGGGGATTATATAACCGATGTTGGCAGAGCAATCCAAACTTCATTGACAATTAAATTACTTTTTTAAATTTTACTGCTATAATACACAGCTTGGTTGAGCTGGGTTTTTTTCTATTTTGGGAATGCAATGAAAAATGACAAAGAAGATAGAATATAATAATCAAACTATATCACTAAATAAACACAAGATAAACTGGTTTATGGCTCATAAATGTGTTTACCTTAACCGCTTCCTGTTTGTTTTCCATTAGGAAACACATGGCCCAACCACTAAATTTAACATTACTGACTTTTTTTCTTTGCGAAATGCAGCAATAAAAAAACCAACATTATATAACTGCTTTGTTTTTGTAGTCACTGCGGGGTTTTTTGAGCGGCCGTTATCTGTCGTAGAAAGGATCAAGCTTTGCCCTGGTTTCTAATTCCAGAGATTAAGGACTTTGTCAAGGACCTTGAGATGGGAACAATACGTAAGAACAACACAAGTACAGATTGTTTCCTGGCTCAGGTGGAAAATAGCGCTCTGCTCTGCTCTCATCTCACCCACCGTCAGTGCGGTCAATGTCAAAATTCAATTGCACTTAACTAAGATGTTGGTATTGTCTTTGTAAAGTGAGTAGACGTAAAACATCCCTGGACCACATTTTTGACAAAACAATATAGTTAGTGTTAGGATAAATATTTAACAGTGATGACTATTTTGTCGAATTTTATCCCTGTAATCTCTGTCTGCCCCCTCACCCCCCCACCCCCCACAGGTCCAGTCAGCATCATCTATCCACTGTGGAACACTGTGGACCCAGTGAGGAGGGGTACAGTGTAGGGGAGTCAGGTGCTGGAGCCCAGGTGGAAGGGTTTGAGATGACCAAAGACACACGGTTCTGTGCTGTGTGCAGTGACTATGCCTCTGGTTATCACTACGGGGTGTGGTCCTGTGAGGGATGCAAGGCCTTCTTCAAAAGGAGCATCCAGGGTAAATGCGAGGATATTTACTCTGAGCTGTCGGCACAATATGTCAATCTAAAAGCATGTGACTGATTAGAGAGCAGGCGTTATTTTGTGAGGATAATGTATAATAACTCATCTGCTTTGAGGTAATTACACTTCACTAGATTAGAATTGGTAAGACCAGAGGTCATTGTCCCTTTATTAAAAGACTATGTCAAGAATATTTGTTTATATTTATACTGTAGGTAAAGTTAGATATACATAAGTACATAAATATATAGCAAAACTGCTGCAAGTACAAGGCAAATAATGAGAAATTTAGACTGCATTTTGGTTATTTTAGACATCTGAAGATCAATAGTTCTGTTGTTAGAGGCCCATGAGTATTATCTATAGTATTGTTACAGTAAATTGTACAATGGTGTAATTTTGAAGAAAAAAAAAACGGGAGTAAAATGAAATGAAATGTGCAAAATATGTTGTTATTGTTGAAGAAAAAAAAAACGGGAGTAAAATGAAGTGAAATGTGCAAAATATGTTGTTGTTGTTATTGGTCTTGTTTTTTTCTTTTTTATGTAACTCTTCTCCTAACTTTCCCTCTGTATACAAAATACTTCTGTTTTCTGAGACTTTAGCCTTATTTGTGTGGTGCTGTTATGGTGCATTGATCCAGAGTCTTCATGGAGAGACTAAATAAAAAAGAAAGGAGAAGTATCCATGGCTATGACAAAGCCAAGATGCCTCCATCTCAGATTCAATTAAAAGGGGAATAGAGTGTCCCCGGCTGCTAAATAACCTAAACCTGACTGAATGCTGGAGTGTGCAGCTTGAAGTAATAGATTTCCTTCATTTCCTAGGTCACAATGACTATATGTGCCCGGCGACCAATCAGTGTACCATTGACAGGAACAGAAGGAAGAGCTGCCAGGCGTGTCGACTTAGGAAGTGTTATGAAGTGGGAATGATGAAAGGAGGTCAGTAGGAACATGTATGTGTATGTATGTACTATATGTATGTATTTAGTTTAGGGTTGTTGTATTTCCCTTGTGTTGGCACAAACAGGGGATTCTGGGAGTTGCATTACTGCAGATAAGTAACTAACTTAACCTTGAAGTGATTTCCTTGAATGACTACTACTACTACTGATGAACACACACTCACATTTTGTTGTCATACTTTTCAAAACAAAAGAAAAAACTGGTACCTTTGCCTTTTTTTCTCCACACTTCCTCTGTCCACTCAAGGTGTGCGTAAGGACCGTAGCCGTGTTTTGCGGCGTGACAAACGGCGTGTTGGATCTGCAACCAGTGGGAGAGAAGAGGTTAAAAAGGAACTGGACCAAAAAACGATGGCTCTCGCTGGGGGGAGAAAGCGCAACAGCACCAGCATCAGTACTGGAGAAGGAAGAGGAGGAGGAGGTGGAGGAAAATCAGCTGTCACTGCCATGTCACCTGAGCAGGTGCCAATTCATGCGACATTTGTCTGACTATAGTTTTGAGTTCAATCTTACTATACACCAAAAAACTTGATGCAATTTTTTTTCCAGGTTCTACTCTTGCTCCAGGGTGCTGAGCCGCCAATACTCTGCTCACGTCAGAAGCTAAGTCGACCTTACACTGAGGTCACCATAATGACCCTGCTGACCAGCATGGCTGACAGGGAGCTGGTCCATATGATCGCCTGGGCCAAGAAACTTCCAGGTAATTCTCAGTTCTGAACTGAAGAGGCCTCTTGGATAAGAGGTGAAAAGTCCTTGGAAAAACCTACCATTCTAGAGTCCTTATCTTTTAAAAGCTGGCAGAAATTAAACACATACAGGACTTCCTAGGCGTTGTCCCTGGTTACTTTTTTATTAAAAACTCAACGTGTGGTTTCTAATACAGCAGAAGTCAATGAAAGGCCAACTACAGCCACCCCAATTATTAATTTATTTGTACACAAGTGAGGTCAGAGGCTTAATAGGTTTACTGGGACACAGTGACATTTATTCTATGTCTTTTCAAAATCAAACATCCCACGGTACAGATGTAATGAGGGTGGTGCCCTCGTCTGCTGATGACTGCTCAGGCAGCAGCACAGGTGATGGGTGACCTCTATCACAGAGGCACATCTGGAAACACACACACAAATGCAGAACCATTACTGTGATGGTAATTACAGTCATCAGCTTTGAGAGGAGTGTTTGGCCAATCTGCTGGCACCCCACAGAGCATAAATGCAGTATAAGACACATCACCCTGTTACATCGGCACAACACACACACACACACACACACACGCACACACTGACAGGCTCTCAAAGCGAGTAAATCCTGATCTTGAGGTATTATAACCTTCTGTGTCACTAAAAGCCAAAGGCACACAGTTTTAATTGCGAGGGACCCAAACAGAGGACATAATGTGTCAAAAAGAGGGAATTTGCTGTTATTATATCTGAATTAAGACAGCTGAGTGCCAGTGACAAGGTTCTTTTAGGAGCAGAGACATTACAACTAAACCTGTGCATTTCTTTAAGTTACTGATAATTGTAAGACATTATTCTCCTGGGTTTTGTTAGATTAAATTCTGCGACCAAGACAGGGAGGCAGTGCTGCAGTATGGCTTCAGAAAAGAAGCAATCTTTCATGTATTATGACACATTGAGAAATCATTCGCTAAGGACCTGACACGTTTGAGGAGGTAAGAAGAAGTGTGAACAGCAGAGCACAAAGCGTAAAGAGAACAATCTGCATGTACGGAAGGAAACTGTTGGTGACGTGAGGAGACAGTGGCTGGAGGTCAGCTTCAGAACTCATTGATCACTGTTCCCTAATTCCTCAATCAACTCACACTAGCCCACTGGTTCTTAATTATTTTCTGTCATGCCCTCCCTTGGGGACAGAAATGTTTTTATGCCCCTCACACTTCTAAAATCACATACCATTGAGAACCTCATAACATATGTTTTTTTATCTGTATAAACCACTGTATACGTTGCTGCCACCTAGTGACTGGAGGCACTATATTCCATTGGAAGCCCCTCACGCCCCTCTTGGCAGCTCACCGTGTCCCCCCAGGGGGCTCCACCGCACTGTTTGAGAAGTACTGCACTAGCCAAGGATTTAAGGACACCACTTGATATTTAATGTTTTTTAGAAATGTAATGATGGCCCAGAAAATAAAAATAAACATTCAAAACATTTGTATTGTTTGACAGATTGTAATTAAGGGCATGCAGGCCAAATAATTACATCTGATAAAGCAGCACTAAAACTGTTATTGTGTTAGAGGTAGGAGACATGTAATGGCTGTCATTAGGCAAAATACATATTGTCCTGTTTTGGTAAACAACAAGCTGAAGCATTAATTATTATGTGTTGGTTTTACAGCTGATGCAGACTGATGGACAATAATACCAAACATATCAGCCCCATTTTCTTCTTTGAATTTGGCTTCCATTTCAAATAATCTTGGATGCGTTTGTCCAGGTTTCCTGCGGCTGTCCCTGCACGACCAGGTTCAGCTGCTGGAGAGCTCCTGGTTAGAGGTGCTGATGATTGGGCTCATCTGGAGGTCCATCCACTGTCCGGGAAAACTCATCTTTGCACAGGATCTCATACTGGACAGGTAGTACAGAAAACTCTCCAGCTGTTTTTTTGACACCCAACTTTCTCTGGTTTTTTTCCACCTTCTTCTGCCCCTACTTTTCCTCCCTAGTTCACTGTCTTCCTCTCACACTCACAGATGTTGAGTGATACATCAGCATTGTAGATTTTTCCATTTCACACCCTGCCAGCCTTTATGTCATCCCAACACATCCATCACAGAGTGAAAGGCTAATTACATGTTCCCCACTGAGAGGAGAGCAGAGGATAGGGAAAAGAAAGGAGAGGAGAGGAGCCTCTCTCCAACCTGAAAAATACTCTCTCATCATGGCAACCAGGACAGAGACTTAATCAAACTCTCAATGTGAGCAGTGATGGAAAGAGGGAGAACTGAAAGAAGTAAGGGGAGATGGTGGGAAAGCAGTGAGAAATACAGATGCTGGCAGATGTGAGGCAAAGCTGTTTCCTCTTTTCTCCTGCAGGAACGGCCTCTTTTTCACCCATTTCCACCCATGTCCTTTAGAAGCAAACTGGCTGACCACATGACAGCATCCAGAGCAGGGAGAAAAGAGCGGGAGACGAAGAAATGAGGGAGACACGTAGACAGACAGATGGAGCTTTTAGTGTCTGATGTATCTGATGGGCCCATTTGATTCAAACGTGTATTACTGCGTATTATCTCTAAAGCCCCGCTCCCCGTATGAGCCGGCTCACCAATAGGACATGATCACTAAAATGCTGTGGGGCAAGGTTAAGAAATTCCCTCAGCTCTGTGCTGCCCATGTTTATCTTGCACTCAGACCACGGGATATGACCCATCTTCCCTTCACTCTTCCAGCTGTGCCGACAAATATAATGCAGCAGAAATTCAGACCAATAGTTTTTTATCTGGACAATTTTGGAAGAGGTTCTCAGTCACAGATTTGGTCAGGTCCATTTGATTTAGATCAAAATGAAAGATATTTTAAAAAATGACTTCCTTCAAGTGTGATTCAAAGTTGAATTGTGCAGTTTGTTTTTTAGCATTAAACATATACAGTAGCTTCCCTTCCTGCATTAAAATACTGTCTTCTCTTCGGTCTATTTTAAAATGTTTAATATTTGATATTGAAAATGTCCTGATCAACTGAGACAGAAAGACAAAATAACTGATTACAGAGAGAATTTTAAACCTTGTTAAACTTCACTGCACCGAATACTTTGCAAGTCTCTCATTCTCGTCAATTTTTGATTTCTCTCTTTTAGGAATGAAGGCAACTGCGTGGAGGGCATGGCAGAGATTTTCGACATGCTGTTAGCCACCACTTCCCGCTTCCGCATGCTGAAACTCAAACCTGAGGAGTTTGTTTGCCTCAAAGCTATCATCTTACTCAACTCTGGTGAGACAAAATGTATTAGTGTTTATTTTATAATTGCTCAGGCAGCACTGAACAGGCTAAAGCACATTCTTGTGTATGCCAGGTGACTGTGGTTGACTCCCCTGCAAGGGAGCGTAGGGAAACAGATATGGAAGGAGTGTTTGTTACAAAGGGGGGGGCGGCCCCGGGGGGGGGGGGGGGGCACATTGAGAGGCTGGGGGGGCGTGAGTGGCTTTTAATGGAATATGGCACACTGGACATCAGTGTACCACTGCTGTAATGCTTAAATGATAACAAGCCTCCAGTCACTATGTGGCAGCAACTCATACAGTGGTTTGTACAGATAAGAATATACATGTTATCAGGTTCTCAGTGGTATGTCAATTTGCGGAGGTGTGGGTCAGGGGGAGTGAAAGCATTTCTGTTCCTAAGGGGGGAGGGGGGATTAGAGAAAATAATTGAGAAACATTAAGGTGAATTTTATTAATTCTGACACTAAACATCTGAAGACTGTATTGAGGTATCTTTTGTTAGTGTGAACAATGGTCTTCAGTGGTTAAAACAATTCAGAGTACTTCTCATGATGTCTTTCTGATTTCATGTTTCTCTTCAGTTTGTTAGATAAACTGGATCAGAGATCTTCCTCTAATATGTAATATTATATTATAATATTACATATACATAAATTAATAATGTTCTGTTTCACATCTACATAGTTTTTCCTTATTGTTATCCTGGATAAATGTGCACTTCATCAGGTGAACAGAACGTTCTGAAAGGACCTGTACTGTCAATATGCCCGATAAATGTTCCCATGACAACATGACACAGGTCAGAGGCCTGTTTTTGTCTTGGATCTTCAGATATTTTTTCTAAAGGGAAACTGACTCACCTGAAATACCAGTATGATGACCTGGAGGACACAGCTGCTGGAGCAGGATGGACATTTGATTGCTGTGTGGGCAAAACTGCTATTAGCATATATTTGTGTCGATAAAATGAATAAATAAAGCTGTACTGTTGCTGTTTTGTTAGTTATAAAATATTTTTCAATAAAAAAAAACAAAAAAACCTTTTCTTCCTCTGTCAGGTTCCTTCTCCTTCTGCACTGGCACCATGGAGCCACTGCACGATGGCTCTGCTGTACAGGACATGCTGGAAATGATGACAGACGCTCTCATATATCATATCAGCCAATCAGGATGCTCCGTTCAGCAGCAGTGGAGACGACAGGCACAGCTGCTGCTGCTTCTCTCACACATCAGACACATGAGGTGAAATAGTAGATGTTAAAATGTCTTTGATAAACCACGTTCTGTTAACCTACGGTTTTATCCACTTCAAATCAGATAGTTCACTATCAAATATTAATATTGTAACTATCTGATAATTTAACAGCAAAACTTCACATTTTTTCATTTGCAGCAACAAAGGCATGGAGCACCTCTACAGCATGAAGTGCAAGAACAAAGTTCCTCTGTACGACCTGCTGCTGGAGATGCTGGATGCTCACTGCCTCCACCGGCCATCAAGACCCCCTCAGTCTTGGCAAACATCTGAGAGAGAAGCCTCTACCACCCTCCACAGCGGCAGTGGCTGTGGTGGAGGTGGAGCTGGAGGTTTGTCTACGACAGGACTCCAGCAGAGTCCCAGCAGAGCCCCCACAGGCCAGGGTGTCCTGCAGTACAGCAGATCCCGCTCCGACTCCACCAACGTCCTATGAGGCTGAACGACAACAAGGACATCTGAAGGTCAAGTTGTTTGTGTGAATGATCTGTCCTTCAGAGTGAAAGTGGTTGGAGAACGAAAGACAAAACATGTGTACAGTGGCTATTAAAAGGTTTACACAAATCCACTATTAATGCCAGGGTTTTTCTAGAGGTTATGTGAAACTACTCTCAATATTATCATCATTTATATAATTGCTAAAACCATAAATAATTTAAAAAAACAAAACAAACAAACAGCAAATCTCCTTGAATAAATACAATAAATCGAAAAATTGAACACAAGGGTTTGTGTGGTTTTTAACTGCCACTGTATTAGAAAGTGTTTAAAGGTAATTATTTATAAATGAGGGTGATCAATATTTTTCCTTAATGTATGATGTTATTAATTTGCACTATTATTCCTTTCCATACAAACTCAGCTTCAGTGGAGTTTCAGCTTGTTGTCTTTTCTGTGGTTCTGACTCAACGTTACAGTCAGTCAGTGTAAACGTAAGTCACAATACTGGGATTTTTTTTCTTTAATAACAGAGCAGCTAATTCACCCCCCCTTTTAAGCCTTAACCAAAGTGCACTTCATATGGAGTTTAACAGGCGATTGTGAATTATCATTTAGACGTTACACTGCGCAGCAGACTCTTAAGGAAACAGAGTCTAAAAAACAGCTTAAAACAAAATAGGGAATTTATTTCAGCTGTTGTAAACTTTGCGGACAATTTAAAATTGATTAGAAATTGATTATTTTACTTATTTGAAATAATAATAATAAAAAATTACTCCAATCTATCAACACTTTATCCAATTCAGCTCTGATTTTACATTAAAGGGAGTTGACTATACTGTGGGAAAAATCGTTTTTGTTGTTTAAACTATGTTTTTCCTGCTAACTTGTCTGTTAAAAAAAAAAAAAAGTTGATGAATTATGACTCAGACTTTTGACCAAATGCAGCTCTTCAGACCAGCGCAGCCCTGTCTCTGGGTGGTACTGTGTGTTCTAGTGTTGTCCTCAGTTGTCTTCTCTTCTCTATGCCACTTACAAATGTTCAAGTCTTAATGTGTGATCAGGAAACTGGTGTTCACAGATGTTCAGTGAGTGTCCTTTATTTACTGTGCAAAAATAAATAAATAAAAGCTTTAATTGGGAAATGATCTTAGAATGCCCCACTCTTGATTTTTATACAGTTTTATATTTTTTATTCATAAAAGTTAGACGGTACTGTTAAAGGTCATTTTTACCTACCTTATGGAAATAACCTGTGGTGTGTCTGAATCTAAAAAAAAACCCATCTATTCAGTACTTGGTGTCTTTCGCAGCTCTTGAATTTTCTTTCTTTTTCCAAACTTCCATTTGCATGTTTTTAGTTCTGGGGGAAAAAGGAAAAAATAAAGCTGTTTTTCAAAATTGTTTTTAAGGGCAAAAATGATCCTTGTCAAAGTAACACAAGTGAAATACGTGACTGTTTTTTAAATTTTAGCACTAAATTATGAGTGCTTGAATTTGAATCTGTGAAATGTGTCTAGGAATCGTTTGACCAAATAACACTGTTTTCCCAAAAGGCAATCTTAGTTTGTTGTAAAGCCGGTAAGAATATTAAGCATTAAGTATAGTTGGGAAGCAGAAATGAAGTCTAATTGACAGAACTTCTAATAGCAAAGACGAAAAACCGGTTCTAGTCGGTATTGTCTAATCAGAAGAAGAACAAATGGGAGATTTGAAACCAGAAAGAAGATTCAAAGAACATGCGACATAAATAAGATGACGTTGAAATAACGTCGCTTGCCATAGCCACTAGTAGCTCCTAGTAGCTAGCCAAAGAGCTAATGAATAAAAAATAATACATTTTAAAACTTAATTGGTCGCTCAGCAAGGCTACTTAAATTTTTATCCAATCAAAATGGATAATTGCCCCGCCCCACTTCCAAAACAAAATTATTACTTGCTATTTAGCTATCAATCAAAACTTGCACTGCTGTCAATCTTGATTAGTCAACGGCGATGTAACTCCTCCCCATTGACGGGCAGAAGATAATGCGCTTGCGCGCCACACCATGATGCGTTCATGGCACCCAGGAAAATGCAGTAAAAAAGAACACAAAACAATCATTTCAGGAACAATGTTGCCAATAACAGAAAAATACACTCTATGGCCAAAATAATTCGCTCACCTGCCCATGACTCCCGTTACTAATCCATTTGTGAGGTCACACGCTGATGTTGGTCGAGAAGGCCTGGCTGCTCTATAATCCAGTGGCAGCGTGCTTCACCACTTCATCCGACGCTTTGCATTGCACTTGTTGATGCATGGCTTGGATGCAGCTGTTCGGTCGTGGAAAGCCCTTCCATGAAGCTCTCTGTGCACTGTTCTTGAGCTAATCTGAAGGTCACATGAAGTTTGGAGGTCTGTAGTGGTAGTGGCTCTGCAGAAAGTTGGCAGCCTCTTCGCACTATGCGCCTCTGGTTCCGCTAACCCCGCTCCGTCACTTTACGTGGCCGATGTTTGTAAACAGTCTGCATGCCTTGGTGCTTGATTTGAAACACATGTGGCCATGGAAGTGATTTGAAAACCCGATTCCGATTATGTGGATCGGTGAGCGAACACTTTTGGCAATATAGTGTAACTAGGCATGCCCCAACATGTTACAATATTATTTATATTTTGTCTTATTTGTTTTTTGTATTTATTTATTTTGTGACGTGCGACGTTATGTGTGACGTTATTTTTGTTTTGTTTTTCAAAAAGTCAAAGTGTAATATCCATCCATTTTCATCAGCTCCTGGGTTGCGGAGACAGCAGGTGAGTCCACTGGAAGGTACCAACCGCCCAAACCGGGATTCGATCTTGCCCAGGAGGTGTAATGCGGTCGGTTGTTCGGTTCAGCTCCATCAACAACGAGGTCCGGCAAATAGGTTTTGTCCGCTTGTGGCTCAAACACGAAGCTGTACTCAACATTCCGCCGCACGTTTTGCGGGATCTTGTTGATGATTGAGGTTGCACATTTGGGCCACAAGAAGGCGAAACGTGCATCCGCACGTTTTGCGGGATCTTGTTGATGATTGAAGTTGCACATTTGGGCCACAGAGTTAAAGAGATGACAGAGAGTTAAACCGCTAAAGCTAAGTTCGCTACCACAAAGCGTGAATGCTGCGTGTATATCTATCTTATTGCCAAACACTTGTCGAGTACAGTCGGTTGTGCTGGCCACGAGACGGCGCCATTCTGCAAAAAATCTAATTTAAAATAAAAACAGCTTATTTGGTTAACATTTAAAAACGCACGAGACGACTATTAAACCCGGGATTCTTCACTCTAACTCTTACCACTAGATCGAGGACCACTACATTAAGTCACTAATGAATTATCAAAATAATAAAATAAGTAAAATGTTACACTTTTGATACATTTTTCATACATTCCTTTCTCTCACACTAGTTATATATATATATATATATATATTAAAACACAGTATATTTAAGAAAGAATAAACAAGAAACAAACACCTGAAAAACTTTTATGCAGACAAGAAAAAAAAATCCAATTTCATGTTTTATTTTCAAAGAGTCTTAATGATGTCGGGAAACTGTTAGCAAACTGTACATACATAAATAACCATTTTCGCTTTTCATCATTATTTTTCTTTTTACAGATTCTGTTTTAGCAGAGCAGTGACACTAACGTCGCATCCCTGCGGGACAATAAGGGCATTTATTACAAAGCAGATGTAAGAGTCTCAGCCATGTACTCTACCAGTGATTGTGTGGCCAGAAGCAGAAGCAGATGTCTTTCAAGTGCATGCTAAAAACCAAAAAATAAAAAAATAATCACCTGTATTCAAAACATTTCAACAATAATATACAAATCGGTGGATTTTTCTTTTTTGACCAAAGAGCTCAAATCTATATTTTTTTTAAATTGGCTTTTGCTGATTAAATACTGAAATTAAAATATTTTGAACATATTCCTGGGAAATAAAAGTCAATACAATATTGTCTGGACGGCTTCAGTGCAGTACTTGGACAGTGCTCAGATCAGCGCTGAACTTTAGCCCAAACATCTCATCAGGACATTTCAAATTTGATGATATAAAGAGGACAATAACTTTAGCCCAAACATCTCATCAGGACAAATTTGATGATGTAAAGAGGACAATGTGATTTGTCTCCTGAAAACCTGTCTCTAATTTTCCGGTGCAACAGTCCACACTTGTGGTTCTTCAGCTTCATCAAGACTGACGTTTCATTCACTGATTTAACACTTAATAAATAGTAGCATCACTGGATCACCATGGACACAACTTTGTGGTCAACTTTGGCTCCCAACATATAAGAATATATAAATAGTGCTTTGTGTTTTTCATTGACTTCACAGGTTTCTTCAAAAACCGAGAGAAAAACAAATTACAAGAAATTTAAAAAACAAGAAATATTTGGATGTGAGAGGAGGAGAAGGCTTCTCAACAGGAAGGTCCATCAAGTCCAGAGAGTTTAAAAGGCTGAGGTGGGTGTGCAATGTGGAGGAGACAAGTCTTTAAAAGAGAAGAGAGTTTGTAGCTTCAGGGCACGAGGGTGAAGAGAAAACATTCACAGGGTTCAGCTGAGTCCTTGGCAAAAGCTGCAGGTGGAGATCCAGCTGCTTCTCATATGGGTGGAGGTCCGTTGGTGTAGCGCAGCATGGGATGAAAGGAGCGGGCAAAGTTGTTGGCGTGATGGCAGCTGTAGTCCTGCTCGGTCATGGGCACCAGGCAGGCGAGGCCAATGAGGAGCAGGAGGAGCAGCTGGACGGGGAGCGCGGCCCTGAGGACGCGCAGCAGGAAGGACGGGCCCTTAGATGTCGGGGTCGAGGACGGGTTCACGCCACGTGAGTGGTCAGAATGGGAGAAAACTCCACCAGCGGCGCCTGATGTTCTGCTGCGGCTGCAGGAAGACATGGAGACAACATTAAACACCAACAAAAAGGTCCTGTATTTTGTGATTCATTTTTTTTAGTATTTGCAAAATGTTTTTTGTAATAAAATTCAAACATAAAATAATTAACTTAAGAAATTTAGAACATTAGTTAAATAAGTAAAGCGAACTAATTTCCAGTGTATTTTCCAGTGTTCTCACTAAAAATGCATTCAAATTATAACCTGTCAGGGTTCATACGGTCATGAAAATCTGGAAATGTTTTGGAAACTGAAAATGCTTTTTCTACATCCTTAAAATGTTAATAAAAAGAGAACATTTTC